TTAGGGTTTAGGGCTGCTTAGGGTATTGTGATGATGACTATTTTATTTGTTATTCTTCGTGCTCTTATTCTGACTCTTGTTCTTGTGCTTTATTCTTGTTTTTTTCTTGTTCTTGCTACTCCTCAACCTCCGCAGCTTGACACACCACACTTTCAGACACCTCAAGCAGCCAAGCCCCACCAAGCCGGCGTTGCCCACCCTCGCGTTAGGTCTCCCTGCACGACTCCTTTCGGCTTCTTCGCAGCCATCTACCCAGCTTCCTGGACAAGGCCGGTGGCAAGAGCCTGGTGGTGTGGGTTCCGGAGACTGCGCCCGTGGGCCCGGCAGAGCCCTTCAAGTGGACTTTCACCAAGTCGGGCAGCTGCACCGTGCTCCCGGACCACCTGCAGACCTCGGATGTGCTGGATAAAGCCGGGCTGGTGGGGAAGGGCCTTGACGAGGCCGGGGTCCGCGCTTGGCTGGCCGACAAGGCCGGCAAAGAGTGCGCCGTTGGCCGCGTCCGGGGTGTGCCGTCGCACTGGACGGTGATCCAGGACGGCAGCTGTCCTCACCGGGAGAACGAGCAGCCGCTCCAGGTTTGTAGCGTCCGCGATGGGGAGCAGGTGACCTACTCCCAGAAGTCCCTACTGATTCCGCTCCACGACGCGGAAGCAGCATCTGCGCAAGACGTCTTGGTGCAGGCTCTGGTCATGCCGCTTGGCTCCAGCAAGTTCTGTGGTAATGCTGACGGTTTCAGATGTGGGGGTTTGCAATACTAGGGATACCTTCTTGGGGTCCTTGTTTCACGGGGATCCCAACATTTGGGGGTCTATATTGGGGGTCCCCTAGTTTCGTAAACCCACACGTTCAAGTTGGTCGCAGGTTCTGCCGCGCCCTGCACATCACGGATCTAGACGTGCGAGTATGTCGCGCTGGCGCGCCGGCTGAGAATTTTCACCTTTCAGATTTGTCATCTTGCAGACCGAACCGTAAAACCGTAAAACCCTATCCCACAAGCCCCTAGCCCTAAACCCGAAATTTTAGTTTTAAATGCCCTACTACACCCCTGAATTCCCTACAGCCCTACAAAGACCCAAACCTGAAACCCCCGAGCCTACTGTGTGCTTGTAATCCTTGGAATTGGCCAAGCCCTACATCCCAAAATCCGAAAATCCCAGAAGCTCCTAAAACCCAAGCCCTACATCCATTTATCCCTACCTAGAGCCCACAAAAGCCCACCCTGCACCCTACACCCTGCACCCTAAACCCTAAACGCTAAACCCTAAACCCCTTGGGCCAAGTCACGACCTTAAGGCGACTCGGTCTGCGTGACCTGGGCCGCTCTCCAGCTCGACGAGACTGCCCGGAGCCCGGTTTAGGGTTTAGGATTTAGGGGTTCCTGGAGCTTCTGGGGTTGTATTGCCCCCCCCCCCCCCCCCCCCCAGAATCGATGATTATCGCTCCATGAGAGACCAACCCCCAGAGAGCAACGTAGAACTACCTAGAAATATATGTAAATATATTGAATCATAGCCTATGATCATATATTATCATATACTAGCATATCTTCGACTTTGTTACCTTATATATATATATATACACACTATATATAATATTACATTGTATTATATTATACTATATTATATTATCTATTATATATATATATATATATTTCTATGATTTTCTATTTATACGTTTATATTTAAAATATGAGGCTCACTAAGTCTATGAGGCTGGCTACCTCTGCGCCGAGCGCTGGGGAAGCTGCCGCTTCCCCGTCGGCTTCGGGCGCCCGGAGCTGCCCGAGGCACGAGGGTCCAAGGGTCAACACGTGGTGCTCTCTTTAGGGTTTAGGGTTCAGGGTTTAGGGTTTAGGGTTTAGGGTTTAGGGTCTAGGGTCTAGGGTCTAGGGTCTAGGGTTTAGGGTTCTAGGTTTCCTGCTCTACTTGCTCTTGTTGTTAAAATATTGTAAACGTCTATTGGCAGTACCCCCCCCCCCCCCCCCAAAAAACAGGGCCATTTTTAGAGAACTTCCAAAGTAGAGAAGATGAGGCAAATTGAGGCCGAGGAGTCTGGGGGCACTGGCTACCCTGCGTTCCCCATCCGGCCTTGGCCGAACATGCCGAAAAACTGGTTCCTTCGCGCCACGTTGTTGGGCGCCTTGGAAGTGGACTGCGCAACATTGGGAACTCGATGGAGCTCTGAAAGAAGCTTATGGGCAAAAAATGTACGGAAGGGAGAGGCGGAAGGGTGGGGCTGGGGGGGGGGGGGGGGAAAGATGCAACTGAGCCACCCTTCCCAGGCCGCCTTTGGGTAGATTGAGAGCTGGTTGATCTGAGAGTCTTTATATCATGATGGTATGAAAATAGTGTACGTGTATATGATTGTTATGACTTTTATACTTCTATTTTGTTATACACTGACTGTTATCTTAGCATTTTTTATTTTATTCTCCTGTCCTTTTCTGGTGCATTCGCCCTGAGACCATCGCAGGAAAAGGCGGTGCATGACCTGGACGCCAGAACAGGACGGCCCGCCACAGGGAGACATGCCCCGAGCTTGGGGGAGACAGCGCGCGCTTTCGGCCTGCTGTGTAGGGTTTAGGGTTTAGGGTTTAGGGATTTGTGTCTCCAGTTGGTTTTTCGGAGCTTGCAGGATGGAATTGACAGTATGGGAATGGCCCCCTGATATTTTTTCCTGCAGTCTTCACTGCGAACGTCACAGCACTACCCTAAACCCTAAACCCCTAAACCCCTACGCCCCTAAATCCCTAAACCCCTTAACCCCTTAACCCCTAAACGCCTAAACCTCTACCGGTGTAACGGTGGGAGCTGTCCGTGGCAGGAGCTTCCCTGAAGTTCACCCTCCTGAACCGCCAGGGCCGCGTCTGGACCCTCATCGCGGGGGGCGGGGCCAGTGTGGCAGCTTGGTAGAATTCACAGGGTGAGAAGCAGCACAAGGGCGTGTTTTAGTAGAAGAAGATTTGATGTGTTTTCTTTTGTTGGTAATAAGATTATGCGAGTAAAAAGAAATATGATGCTTGTTATTCTGAGTTTTGGTTGCTGATATGTATACTTGCAGCTGTTGTTAGTTCTGGCATTCTGGTACATAGATGCCCTCCTGTCACGCTGCCCCCTGGGCCGAGGTGTACACGGACACGATCTGTGAGTATGGCTACGCCAAGGAGCTTGCCAACTACGGCGAGTACTCCGGTGACCCTCCTGAAGACTTTGTGTATGAGCATCTTGATGGAGGATCAGACATGGCCTGACGAGGGGTTTAGGGTCTAGGGTTTAGGGGTTTGGGGTTTAGGGTTTAGGGTCAGGGTCTTGTGTCTGTAGGTCGGAAAGGTGATTGCCAAGACAATCCACAAACTCGCTTGATTGAGTTTAGAGGTTGGAAGCAAGCTCGCGGCTTGTTGAACAAAACGCTTGGTTGATCGTCTACTCTGACAACTTGACACGGTGGCACAAAAAGGCAAGCAAAACCAATTACAAGTTATAGTAAATGAACTGAATTTATACCAATAGGTACGAAAAAACACCGTGACTCAACAAGTAATTCAGAGGATGAAGAGATATCCTGAAGGTCTTGCTTCTGCAAGCTCACGGATGCTTGCGTCCTTGAAGGCGGCGTTCATCTCGTTGACTAGGGTGACCGCCCTCATAGAGGCAACACATGTGCAGCGGCTGCCTATAGTAAGTGGTGAGTGGGGAGTGTGCCCACCCTAAACCCTAAACCCCTGACCCCAAGCCCTAAACCGCCCAACCCCTGCGGCCTTCTGAGGTATGCCAAAGTGATTTTGGGCGTCATGACCTCGTCTCCCGAGCCTCATGGGACCCTCGGGCGCGAGGATGGAATCGGCAAGTTTGAGCAGAGCTCCTTTTTTTGGGGTCCAAGTGATAAGGGTGCCGGATGAATAGGGACAAAAAAAGGGACCCTGATTCAGAGCACTGCCTAAAGATAACAGAGGCCTCAGCCACGAGTATCCACAGGCAACGTCTTCAAGGAAGCTCTGGGCTCATTTAAGGGGTAGCATAAGGAGGGATCCCTTAGAAGGGACCCTTTATGTTATTCCCCTCTTTAACCCCTATACGTGCCGTACATAGTCCCTACATGCTGAAGTAGCCGCTAAATAGCCCCCAAGTAACCTCTAAGGTCCCTTATAAGGGACTCTGCCGCAGGATTCAACCCTCAACTCCTGAACCCCAAGCCCCAAACCCCAAACCCCAAACCCCCAAGCCCCCACAAACCCCACAAACCCCAAACCCTAAACCCTAAACCCTAAACCTCCCAAACCAGGAAGATCCTGTTGATCGGGGGCGGGGTGGCCAACTTCACGGACGTGGCCAGCACTTTCAAGGGCCTGGCCGCCCGCCAGCAGCTGCTCCCCACAGTCAGGAAAAATCGGTTTAGGGTTTAGGGTTTAGGGTTTAGGGTTTGCAGTTTAGGGATCGTGCAATATATGTAGGCTTCGAAAAGGAGGGGGTTGCCCTGGTTGTGGGTTCCGATAAGAAGGATGGGAGGAGGTATTTGTAGCAGGACGTAGCAGGACTCCCCGACTTTCCTTGCCTCTTCGTCTCTGCCTCTGTTGCAGCTGGGAGATGTTACGATGTTCGGGGGTGCCTTATTGGGGTCCTTTTTAGGAGGGGATCCTACTGTGGGTACCTGATTGGGGGTCCTTGTTAGGAGGGGATCCTACTATTCGGGTCTATATCAAGAGGCATCCCTTAAAGGATCGTAAACCCGCAGCTGCTTCCGCTTGGCAGGTGAAGGCGTTGAAGGAGTTCGGCCCTGCTTTGAAAGCCTGCGGCACGAAGCTTGGAGTCATTTAGTCCGAATGGTTGGAAACCTGGTCAGAGAGAAGCACCGGCAGTGACAGGCACATCGAGCTTGCCAGTGCTGATCTCTCCGGCCGTTAGGGTTTCCTACGCCGGCACTTGTTGATCTGGGGCACGATGGGGTCGTTCTAGGAAAAGGTGCCCATTGCTGGAACACTGAACCGCAAATAAGGAGTATGCTCCAGAAAGACGAGATTCTAGGGTTAGGCTCCATTGTTTCGGTGCAAGCGGCATCTGCGCCTAAAAGCACCAATTAAAGGATTGATAGGCGACGTTTGCGCCAAGAAATATCTACTCAATTCAGAGAGGCATTGCTCCCAATCCATATCCATCCTACCACTTGTCTATACATGAACATCCTCGAGTTGGACGAAAGACCACAAGAACGAAAGGGCATTTCCCTACTTTCGAGCACGTGCACGGTCCCACCACCACCCCGAATTGAGCCAGAGAGAAGAGAAATGCCCAAAGAAGAAAAACAACAGAATCCAACTCGATTCGAGAAACCATCGTCTTTGAGAGTTTGACCTTCAAGAAGGAGATTTCTCATTCGAGAAACTCTAGAGAGAGGATTCTCATAAGCAGAACTATCGCTTCACCACAGCCATCCAAATCAATCCATCCTGCGCTGGGGAATCTTCTGACAATACAAGCCCGAATATGCTAGGATGGAGACCCAAAGCACAGAAACGGATTCACAACCCTCATGTGTGGAGACGATCGGAGACACAGCCAAGCCAAGGACTGTTTGGGTGCGCAGAGGAGGGCCAAATTACGCAGAGGGCCTGGCCAACATGCGAAAAGCCTGCGAGGACCTGGGGCAAACTTTGGGATGTGCCCCCTTTTCTAACAGTCCTCAAGAGAGATTCTTGTACCCCCTACTATCATCCTTATGAAGGACTGTTAGTATAACGGGGAACATCCCAAGGCGAACCTCTTTGGGACCTCTTTGGGTCGGTTTTTGGGCACACTTGGGTCGACTTACCGGAGATGCTGCGCACCTGTTGAGCAGGACATCGGCATCCCCGCGCAGGTGTATGGTCCTGAAGCTCACCTCACATCCATCGTGCGGGACGCCCTGCTGGACAAAGCTGCCAGGGAGGGCACCATGCCGGCCCCGGATGTTAAGATCCGGCAAGTCGACACTGCTAAGAGGCAAAGGCGAGGCAGCAACAGCCTCATGGAGTTTACTTCCGAAACACAGGCGTTTGTGTACGGAATGCAGACGAAAGCAGTCCAGCGGATGCTGGACTTCGACACTTTGTGCGGGCGGAAGACAGCCAGTGTGGCTGCAATAATCAACCCAACTGGTGAGGCCACGTTTGAAAAGTTCATGTTTGGCTCTGCAGACGTTCTGATCCCTGTGTACACCTCGTTGGCAGATGCCGTGGACAGGCATGGCAAGACGCCCAAGATGCTGGTCAACTTCGCTTCCTTCCGCTCCGTGTATGACGCCACTCTGGATGCTTTGAAGTACGCCAGCGTCATCAAGACGCATGCAATCATCGCAGAGGGTGTTCCAGAAGCTCTGACACGACGGCTGCACATCGAGGCGGAGAAGGCGGGGGTCGCGATCATCGGGCCGGCCACCGTGGGCGGCATGATGCCGGGGCGCTTCCGCATCGGCAACGCCGGGGGAGCAGTGGAGAACCTGCTGCTGGCGAAGCTGTATCGGCCTGGATCCGTAGGCTACACCACGAAGTCCGGGGGTATGTCGAATGAGCTCAACAACATCGTGGCTCTCAACACCGACGGAGTGAGAGAAGGTGTTGCCATCGGAGGCGACAGGTGGCCGGGGCTCCGCTTTCTGGATGTCCTGCTGCGCTTTGAGGCGGATCCGGACGTGAAGATGATGGTGCTCTTGGGGGAGGTGGGTGGCCGCGAGGAGTTCCTTGTGGCGGAAGCCCTGCAAGACGGCCGCCTCACCAAGCCGCTCGTCGCCTGGTGCTGCGGCACCGCGGCCGAGGCCTTCGACTACGACGTGCAGTTCGGCCACGCGGGCGCCCGGGCGCGCGCGGCCGACGAGACGGCCGGTGCCAAGAACCGGGCTCTGGCGCAGGCTGGCGCCCTAAACCCTAAATCCTAAACCCCTAAACCCCTAAACCCTAAACCCCAAACCCTACACCCTAAACCCCAAACCCCAAACCCCTGAACCCTAAACCCTGAACCCTCAACCCTAAACCCTAAACCCTAAACCTTAAACCCTAAACCCTAAACCCTAAACCCCAGGCTGGCGCCCACGTTCCCCGGAGCTTCGACGAGTTCGGGGACCTCATCGCGCTGGTCTACCAGGCTTTAGTCAAGGTGCCCCAGCTGAGCTCTTAAAGGGTGTAGGGTTTAGGGTTTAGGGTGTAGGGTTTAGGGTTTAGGGTTTAGGGTTTGGGGTTTAGGGTTTGGGGTTTAGGGTTTGGGGTTTGGGGTTTAGGGTTTGGGGTTTGGGGTTTGGGGTTTAGGGTTTGGGGTTTGGGGTTTGGGGCTTAGGGTTTGGGGTTTGGGGTTTGGGGTTTAGGGTTTGGGGTTTGGGGTTTAGGGTTTAGGGTTTGGGGTTTGGGGTTTAGGGTTTGGGGTTTGGGGTTTAGGGTTTGGGGTTTAGGGTTTGGGGTTTAGGGTTTAGGGTTTGGGGTTGAGGGTTTAGGGTTCAGGGATGGTGCTTCGTTGTATCATACTTGCTGAGACAAGTCTTCGCAAGTCATTTGCAGAGAGCAGACGTTCAAGAATCCTACATCCCCCTTGGGAATTGTTCTTTATTTTTGTTCATATAAAACTCAAGAGGATATTAAACATATGGTTTCTGTTAAGGTTCTAAAGGGGAGTATAGAATCCTACTGCTGGCGAGCACCCAGAGGCAGGCTGCGTCATCGTGGCCAGCGAGCCGGCCGTGCCAAAGCTTCCGAGCGACTTCGAGTCGCTTCGGAAGAAAGGCTCCTGGGGCATCACCGGGCCAGAAGAGTGCTCGCTTTTAGGGGTATGTCAGGGGTACCGCTTTCTTTTTTTTGAACATTCCCATGTTCTTCCGAGTCTTGTCGCGGATTCAAGTGATTTAGCTATGTCGTTGCTATTATGTGTTATGGAGTATCAGTGCGGTCCCTAAAGCGGACGGAGGCTCATGCTAGCGAATGCAGCCGCAAAGCAGGCCCCACAAAGGCGTCATCGGCCAACTCAACCCAGAGCTCACAGTGACCTTTGGAATTGAACCCAACCTTTCAGGAAGCCTTATCGATCTTGCTGTGCGTGGCGTTATTCTTCCATCCCGTCTGGAGCCCCAAACCCGAAACCCGAAACCTTCCCAAACCCTGAAATCTGAAACTTCCTGAAAACTTAGGCCTGGTCCTCATACCACAAAACCCTGAAACTCCTTGAAAACCTCCTTAGGCCCCTACACCCTAAACCCTAAACCCTAAACCTACTCCTTAGGCCTGGTCCGTAAGCCTGCCAACTTTGTCTGCTCGATCTCCGACGACCGCGGGGCGGAGCCAACCTACGCCGGGGCGGGGGCCCCCATGTTTGCGGATGTCTGGGGTGTTTTTTGTTTTTGCTCCTTATACTAACAGATAAAAACGAAAAGAAAAATATGTATGTATGTACTTATATACATATACAGGGATTGTGGTACCCCCTATCATAATCCCTACAAAAGGACTGGGCTACAGGAGGATATAGTATGCATATTCCAGGGGTTTCGGGTTGAAGGGACGTGTGGCGTTTGCAGCAGGGTTATACGCTTAATGGGTTTGAAGGGTTAGTTATAGCTTTGCAGGCTCGGGGGCTTCATGGGCCTTTGTGAGCTGCCTTCGACAGATTCCTCCCCACAACCCTCCAGCGCGCCGCCCTCCAGGGTCGGCGGACCGTAACAATCCCAAGCATCCCACCAACCGTAAACCCTAGCCCTAAACCCTAAACTTCCCCAAGCCCAAAAGCGCCGTTTGGAGGTGCCCATCTCAGAGATCGCCAAAGATGAGGCGGGGGCCAAGGGGACTCTTGGGTAAGAGGGAGACGCGGAAGGCATGTGGGGGGCAACTCTGAATATCCAAAATGATTCCTAGGATGAGGAATAGATCGTATTTTGGGGACATAACGTGTACACCTTTTTTAGGAAATGCCCACAGAATATCTCCTTGGAGCGCACATGCAGACCGGCGAGAGACCTGATGCGCTGTAGGAACTGGGCATTGGTGGCGCCATCTCGCTGCTGTGGTTCAGGAGAGCCAGCTTGATGCAACAGCCCGAGCAGTTTGTGTGTTTTCGGAAAGCCGGGAAACAGGGTTGGCAAACGTAAGCTGCTGGATTTCAATTCGTGGGTTGGAGGCTTCACACAGGAAGGAATGTATGTATACACAGACAGAAACATGTCCAGGAAACGACTTCCACGCTACGTCTCCAAGTTCATCGAGCTCTGTGTTCTGGCCGGAAAGACCTTGTTGTGTTCCCACGCGTACTTCATTAGAAGAGCATCGTGGCACAGTCTTTGTTGCCTGTGTGTCCAGTTTGGCGTTCCAAAGTGCTTCAACTCGGCATCCTGAACAGGGAGGTATCCGGCACGAGGGCGCGGCGTATGTTTAAAACCCTAAGCCCTAAACTGTAAACCCGAAAAAGCCGCGTATGGCGCAAGGTGCGAATGTAAGGGCGAGGACCACCTGTGACATGCCCCTACGCTGTGTGAGCAGTGCTCACGCTCAAAGGCTTCGTGGAGTCTTGTAGGAAGAGGCCGCAGGCAAATCATGATTCAAAGATGCCCCAAAAAGGCAAACATGGGTTTCAGCTCTTCAGGTGTGGTGGCGACTGCAGACCATGGCCCGTGCGTGTCGGGTGCGCAGCTTGTCGAAGGAACCTAGGACGGCCAAGGAGCCTAAACCCTAAACCCTAAACCCTAAACCCTAAACCCTAAACCGAGAACTAGCGGCTAACTGGCGTCAGCGGGTTTCTTCTGGACGAAGTGGAAGCAAGGGCAGTGGACAAGCGAGGTGGAAGACTGACTTAAGTGAGGCGTGGAAGCCCTCAGAACAGCTTCTGACAGACTTCCAAAGAGTCCCGGAGTCACGTGACTTGCCAAGAGCACATCGCTGTTCTCCAGCGCAGGCACAACACCATCGTAGCGGCGCGAGCTGGGAAGGATTTGGTCTCCTCGCTGATTTCCGGCTTGGCAACTATAGGCCGGGGCAAGGGACGTAGATGATTTCCGAACTTCGGGGTACCGGATGGGGGGTCCCTTTTTTTATGAGGGAATCCTACTATTTGGGGGTGTATTTTCGGGTCCCCGATTTTCGTAAAAATCTTGAGACTCAAGGGCTCAACACCTCTTAGTCCTTGGGCGATGTAGGGATAGCTAATCCGTCCTCCCTTGGGCTGAACTGGAACTTCTGCAAACTAAACCCTCAAAACCCCATAAAGCCCCTACAACCCCTAGAACCCCCGTAAACCCTAAGAAACCCTACAAGACCCTTTGAACCCATATAATACAACCCCCCCCCCCCCCCCCCCCCCTACAAACCCTAAACCCTAAACCCTTTATAATCCCTTGAAGGTCCTCGCTTCGGCGGAGCCCTGGACGACGCGGCCCGCATGTTCGCTGCCGCCTTGGACGGAGGCCTCACGGCCCCGGAGTTTGTGGAGAAGTGCCCCCTGGCTCTCTTGGGGGCATGTAGGGTTTCTAGATATTTCCTTTCTACAGGGTTTCTATAGGGTTTCTATAGGGTTTCTGTAGGGTTTCTGTAGGGTTTCTGTAGGGTTTCTAGGGTTTCTAGGATTTTTTGGGCTTACAGGGTGTGCAGGGTTTTTTGTTGGGTTTGTAGGGTTGGGGGCCTCCTGTTCTTCCGTATGGACCTCTCGCAGCTTGCAAGGCAAGCAAGAGAAGACCGTGATCATGGGTATCTTGGTCACCCAGTGATGCCCTTTTGAAAATTTGCCCTTTTGGGGACCCTAAACCCTAAACCCTAAACCCTAAACCCTAAACCCTAAACCCTAAACCCTACACCGATTACCGATTGTGGTTGCTGGGCTACCCAGGCATCGGTCATCGCGTCAAGTCGCTGGACAATCCAGACGCGCGAGTCGTCCTCATCAAGGAGTACGCGCCATGCCGCAAGGGGTTTAGGGTTTGGGGTTTAGGTTTTAGGGTTTAGGGTTTAGGGTTTAGGGTCTAGGGTTTAGGGTTTAGGTTTTAGGGTTTGGGGTTTGGGGTTTAGGGTTTAGGGTTTAGGGCCATGCCGCAACGGAAGGGTTGTGGCTACAGGTCGAAGCAGGCTTTGGTTAGGTTCAGCAGTGGACGTGACTTTGGCCTTCAAGGAACCCTGAACCCTGAACCCTAAACCCTAAAACGGAAAACCCTAAAACCCTAAAACCCTAAAACCCTAAAACCCTAAAACCCTAAAACCCTAAAACCCTAAAACCCTAAAACCCTAAAACCCTAAAACCCTAAACCCTAAGCCTCAAAAAAACGAACAGAACAGGTCCCCCCCAAGAGGAGAGATCAAGTCCCGACGTGTTTTCAGGCAAAGGCCCACTTCCCGGCCACGCCGCTCCTGGACTTCGCACTGGCTGTGGAGCAGATCACCACCAGGAAGAAGGCCCTTCGCAGCCCCCGGAGCCGTATTATTATTATGATTATTATTATTGTTAGTATTCTTATTCTTATTCTTATTCTTGTTCTTATTCTTATTATTCTTATTATTATTCATCATTTTCTTATTCTTCTTATTATTCATCATTATTATAATGATTGTGATGATTATTATGATTATTATGATTGTTATGATTATATTATCATTGTTATGATTATGAACGTGGTCTAGCCCTCTCCGACCCTTCGGTCTTACCGGTAGCACACCCCTCGAGAGGCAAAAAGTGCCGTCAGCTGTCACCATGATGTTTAGGGTTTAGGGTTTAGGGTTTAGGGTTTAGGGTTTTGCCGAGCATTCAGAGGCAAACCTTATCCTCAATGTCGACGGCTGCATCGCGGTGTGCTTCGTCGACCTGCTGCGCGGCTGCGGGGCCTTCACGAGGATGCGAGAGCTGCGCAGGGTTTAGGGTTTAGGGTTTAGGGTTTAGGGTTTAGGGTTTAGGGTTTAGGGTTTAGGGTTTAGGGTTGCCACAACAAGTCACAGCCCCATGAAAGGAGAGAGGCAGACGAACTGGTCTCCAATGGGGTTCTCAACGGCCTCTTTGTCTCGTCGCTTTCGGTGCATCTAGAAGGGTAAGTAGGGCTTTGTGCTCCCAGAAGCCATGTATCATGAGTGGCTCGACTTTGGGAATCGCAGAAAGCCTGAAGCCCTCAACCCTAAACCCTAAACCCCCACATCTGGTCCCGTCAGGTCCCGGACCATCGGCCTAGTTGGCCATTTCCTGGACCAGCGGCGCCTCAAGCAGCCCCTCTACAGAGCCCTGGCTCAGCGCATCCAGGGTCTGGGGTTTGAATGGCTTTGGTAACTTGAAGACAGCAAATGGGGGTGTGTGGCGCCTGCGGACACCAGTGCAGAATCAAGTCTAGGAGTGATCCTTTCGGTCGCGAGCATCTGCCAGTGGTGACACTCGTAGCTCAGAACTCCCGCTCCAGGACATCCTTATAACGATGTCACGTACCTCACCGACAGCTAATGTGATCGTGCGCTGCGCCTGTATTGCGCTGCGCTGATTCTAGTGTGAATTTTTCCAGTGTAGTATTTCCGGCCGCTCGCTCTACCACTGCTCCACAAAGGTGGGGCAATTTTCTGGTGGGGGGGATAGCCGACGGGGCTGAACCACTGCCTGCTTGAAGGAGCTCTCACACAGTGGCCAAAAGAGCTGAGAAGCAGAACAATTCCCATCCCTCACGCTTGGCGCCTCTAGTGATTCTACTTCTAAGCGAAACCGAGCTATCGTTGACATGAATGTGGTGTTCTTCTCGGTTCAACTCTTTATTCCGCTTGGAACCAGGACATGCGCTGTTGTTACATGCAAGGTTCTGTGCTGTACCGGGCCGCAGCGAACGGCAATGTTGCGGGGTTGAAGACTTTAAGTCAACTTTTAAGTTAAAATTATGTTAAACGGCAGATTGCCCTGTGCCGCGATGGCCCCAGCGACTCAGCCGACCTGAGGACAGCTGTGCATGAAGGTGCGGTGCAAGCATCATGATATGGCAAGATGAGCAGCCAGGATTGTCGGGCTTCAGTCAAGCACCTGCTCGCATGCATTCGGACAGCTCATGATCTGCTCCTCACCCGTGCGAAGGCTGCGTGGATGAGTCGGCCATGAACAAGGCTCTTAATCTCGTGGTGGGTTTTTCCAGCTGGGAATGCATCTGCCTTGTTGAGAGAAAAGTGTCAGGCACAAGTGAGGAGGGAACGCTATCGCATTTCGCGACATCGGGTCTGGGCCGGAGAATCATGCAGTACTGTACCGGAAGGAAGCAGGAGAATGGAGATGGGGTCACGGTGGGGCTCTGGGGGTTGGGGTGGGAGGTTGCCTTGCAGAAAACACCCCATAAAGGCTGGCGTCGGAAGTCCAAAGGTACGAAAGACGGCCTGTGATCCAGGCAGGGCGGTCAGGTCAGGTATGTCCTCTGGCCATTTCCAGACAAAAAACACACTAGGCAAGCGGGATGGCGCGCAAGGGGATGCGAGGGTAACTTGTTTTCCATCCCAAATGGTTGCCCATGCCGGGGCTACCGACAACCATACCGACAACCGGGGGGGGCGCAGCACCCACAGTTTGGGAGGTGGATGCCTGAGAATGCTTTCAAGACGCGGGCCTCGGTTGAGGCCTGGAGCCCGCCCCAGTTGTGATTCTTGCTCACGTCAGGCCGCCAGCGCAGGGACATCCAACAGGCGCTCTGCTGTTTGCATCTGGACAGACGCAGACCGTGCGCGTGCAAGGACCCCACCCCATGCGCGTGGTTACGCATAGTTACGGATGCGGAGTGTGTTGACGTGTTGAAGCGCGGAGCCATTCGCTGAACAGTGGTTGTCTCGCCCGCCGTGGCTCTGTCGCAGTCGCTGTCGTTCACTAGCCTTCACCCTGCTTGGAGCTTCGCTTGACTTGACGTTGCAAGGGATACGTCCATCCTCAGCCCCTGAGATCAAGGCGTCCACTCAGAACAAGTCCTGTGCCTCTGTGTGCAGGGCTACTTTGGGCCTCTACATGGGAATGCAGGGCGCCAAGCATCTTTGAAAGGCACACCGAATGGTGTTGCATGCGATTGACGTGCGCTTCTGAATGCTAGGCTAGCTGTTGGCATTCAAGTTTGCATCCAAGTTCGACCTGTCACCGCTAGGGAACGTTTGTTGTTGCATCCGGGCGTGTCTGAAAAGCTGTGGCCTTGGAGACAGTGTGCGAATAGTGCCGGTGAGGATGTAACTGCTTCCAAGGTCAGGGCTTTGCCTGGAACAAGCAGCCGCTCCAAACCAGCAACTTCGAAGTCCAAAGCTCAAGCTTTTGATGGGATTAGTGGTGCCGAAGGTGGCATGTCACAAGCTTGGTCACATGGGTCTTGTTTGGACAGGCCCGCTTTGCCTTTCGTGCATTTGGCGCCGCGGATGCTTCCAAGGCCTTGGTGGCAATGGTATAGCTGGCCAGCAGCAGTGTAAGATTTCGTCCTCGATCTGCAGGTTGTGGATGACCAAAGCTTCGGTGTTTGGTTTGTCCGGCAGAATATGTCTGGCGATTTCAACGAATCTGCTGCCATCCGCGTGCAGAACTTACCAGGCCTTTTCCAAAACCACGGCGTCACAACGTTCATCGCAGACAGGAGGGCGCAGTTGTACATGCATTTGGGCTACGTTGCAAGGCATCCTGGTGGTCGGATGGTCTGAAGGAGCGAGGATACTCGTTGAGTGGCTCCAAGGATCGGAAGTTCCAAGCGAACTCAGACGTATGCTTCAAAGAACGAGTTGCAAGATGCATGAGCATTCATCAAAACGCATGGCTTCAGGCTTAAGCCATGACAAATGCATTTTCAACTTAGCAATGTAGACAATGTAAACTTGATGAAGCTCGGAGGCACTGTTTGAGGGAATCGGAGCTGCCCGGCCCTCAGTTGTTCTCTTCACGGCGGGTTGAAAACTTGGGCACGCTGTGCAGGTGTTTTCGACGGCAAATCTTGCCAAAAAGCCAGGCTCCGCTGTGTCTTTCACCAGTTGCCGTCTCAGGCAGCTTCTCGTGATTCGTGGGGTGCTCGCCTTCGATTTCACATGTTCTAGGGAACGACAACCATCAAAGTCCGGGCTACGGCATTGACGTTCCCACCAGCAATGCCAAGGCAGTTGCATCCAGCTAAGGGTCAGAACACGTGAACATGTATGATCATGCTCAGGTAGTTGATTTCTGGAACAAGGATGTGGAGTTCAAGATTCGGGTACAGCCTTTCTCAGTGAAGGCGGGGTTGACCTGGTTGTTTTGGCGTGTCATGTTTGCAGTTTGTGCTCTATACTGCCTCCAGGGTCAGATAGTTGTTGATGGTGTCATGATGACTTTTTCGTTGTTCGCCGGTAATATTCCAGCTATTTATGTCGAAGGAGTCTGTAAGCCCTACCTTAAGGGCGTAAGATGGCTTCGAGTTGAGGTACATTTCTCTGAACGCGTTCGGCCAGCTGAACATCGTCTAGGCCAACGCTTCCGGTGACCAGGGCGCTGTGGGTGAGGGCGTTGGTGTGTGTCTGTGTGTCTCAAAAAAGTTTTCGAGACTCTGGGACTGCAGCGTTAGGGTGCCCTAAACCCTAAACCCTAAACCCTAAACCCTAAACCCTAAACCCTAACCCCTAAACCCTAAACCCTAAACCCTAAACCCTAAACCCTTGTTTGTACGGCATTGGTCTTGGATAGTCATGGGATGTCATTGCCCCTTATAGCTCAGGGAGGCAAAAAATGGCCCGGGGCATGTGGGCTCCGGCTTCAGCTGCCTGCTTGCTCGAAGATTCGGGGGACTTATTACCCCATCTGCAACTCTGCACTTATCGGCCCCCTAAGTCCTCTAAGTAAAGTATAAGTAGTGGACTTACAATGTTATATGTACCCGTGAACCTCCAAGTAGTCTATGTATCTACAAAGAGCCAGTCCCTGCTGGTGCCGCAGTCGGCCGACGCGGACGGGCAGTGGAGCTCTCGAGCGCGAAACTTGGCGGCCCGGCTTCAGTAACGTCTGTCTAGCGTGTGCCAGAGCTGAGTCAAGCTCCTTGGGGCCTCTCTCTCAACCCCAAAAACCCTCGCCTAAATTCTGCGTGTCGCCTTGAACCTTGCCCCGAGGCCAGCAGAAAGAGGTCAAGAACGTACCGTTGCGCATGGAGGCAGGCCGACAAGAACCTTGCGTAACCCTAAACGTTGCAAGGGTGCTGGCTAGTTACTCGTCCCAACACAGCTCCCCCACCCCACGCCACGGGAATGAGCCAGAGCCACATGTAGAACGTCATCTCGCCGAGCATCTCGCGCCTGAACTCAGAGCCTTGCATGGGTTCGATTGTTCGATGCTTGTAGCCTGCGCCCAGGGAGCAACCCTAAAAGCTTTTCGACATCCTGGACTCGCGAGGCTGGGTAGGCCGGTTCGCCGCGCGTATAATATGGACTGGCAATTGGGCTCCATATGCAGGCTAACATAGTCGAGCATACGCGAAAAAACTATCGAACGGCAGTGTCTAGCATCATAATCGTTGCACATACCCGAAACGTAGCGAGGCATCTGATCTCAGTGGATGTTATCCTTTAGTTCCCTGCTGGAATCTGGGCAAGTAGGCTTGTCTAATTCGAGCTTGGAGGTAAGGGCTCAGGGTTGAGGAGTGCGGGGCTTAGGAGCTGAACTTTGGGGAACCGTGGTTTTCTCCAACATGTCTGAAAAGCCCAAGAAGTTGGAGCAGCTACAGCAGCTGTCCAAGCAGAAGGAGTTTCCCCGCTGTTTGGAGTCGAAACCCTACAGGCCATGAACCAATCCCAAAGCGCTAAATCCTAATCATCTGGAAAAGCCAAAGGAGGGTGTTGAGATCGTTTGACACGGTAAGCTCTTGAATCGCACGGGCTTAGGGCTTAGGGTGTAGGGTTTAGGGTGTAGGGTTTAAAGTTCAGGGTTTGGGGCTTTGGGAGGTAGGCCCAGAAATCGAGGTTTTGAAGCTCAAGAAAGAGCGGCACCCCAAAACCCCAGGCCCCAAGCGACACACCCTAAACCCTACCTTAGCCTAAGCCCGAAGCCCGAAACCCTAAGCCCTAAACCCTAAACCGCAGCCCTCGGCCCTACGCCCTCAGCAATAAGCTTTGTTTTTGGAAGCCAACAGCCAGGAGTCCAAAGGCAAGGAGAAGAAAAGCAAGCCTCCCGGCTGCCACAATGACTCGGGGTAGGGTTGTCGGATGTTGTAGGGTTTTAGGGGTTTGAGGGTTTTAGGGTTTAGGGGTTTAGGGTTTTAGGGTTTTAGGATGTTTTGGGTTTTAGGGTATTAGGGTTTTAGGGTTTTAGGGTTTTAGGGTTTTAGGCTTCTAGTGCTTTAAGGCTTAGAGTTCAGCCAGCAGGTACCCCACCCTTTGCCGGGCTGTCATCCCACAGGGCATCTTTGCCTGAAAAGCTAGAAAGGTACGATGATCCCGCTCGTGGTTGAAGGGTGAGTTTCGGGTGTTTTGGGATTTTGGGTTTCGTGCGGATTTGGGGAGAGGAGTTGAGACCGCGAATACGGGTTCAAGGCCCTATTCTCCTCTTATTCTCTCGGCCTACATCAACTCTTTGGCTGGCCGGTTTCCCTGGACAACGGTGGCGGCCTGTTTTGTGGAGTATTCTCTCAGTCGATTCAGAATCAGGCTGCGTTCTGCGCCCAAGCTTGGTGCATCGAGGGCCTGCTCGGAGGTTACCCAGGGGCAGCTATAAGAAGGGTTACAAGTACCCTACATACGGATATAGCCAGTTATACAGTTGCCCTACTTACAACCCCACTTACAACTACCCGTGAACCTTCAAGTGGGGTGTTCCCGCAAGGAAGCCGAAGAAAGAGAAGAAGAACAAGAGCGCCTCCGACGAAAGCTGATCCTGGCGGCGCCAAAAAGCAGGGCGGCCACTGGCCACCCTAAACCTTTTCAAACCCTACAGGCCCTACAGTGAACCTTCGACCCTAAACCCTAAAACCTAAACACTAAACCCTAACTAAAATCCCCAAAGCTCATCCCCAAGCCTTCCAACTTTCCCGAAGCCGACAACCCTGGACAACATGGTGTAAGGATGATTCGAGGTGGGATTCCCTTTGGTAAACCTTTTGGGGTATGGGGCAACTTCGTGAGTTTACTGCAGACCTGGAACCCTACCTAAACTCCCAAAAACAAATCCAGAATCAAGGGCCCCCTGTAACATGCGCCAAGTCACTGCAAGGACACGTTTTTCATAGTAAGGCAATTTTTTGTTGATGCTTTTGAGGACACTGTGTTTTCATTCAGAGCAGGAGCTCTTGGACAGTTTTTAAGGTGTCTTCCTTCCTGAAGGTTGCTGGGTCTCTGGATTCTTCTTTCAACCCTAAGCCCGCAAAATGCCCTAGACATCCCAAAACGCAAAATGGGGTATTGGGCTCTCCGGGCACTCTTCTACTTGTAAGGCTACAGTAGTAAGGGGCCGGGTTTCAACGAGTGCTTCCCCAAAACTACTCGTGGGTTTGGGGCACAGGTTTGGGTGTTATGGTCTAGGGTGCACTCAGGGAACATCCTAGGCCCTGAGTCCCTGCCCCCAGCGATTTTGAGCATGCACCTAGTAACTGAGGGACTTTTACCTTTGTTGAGACCATAGGACCATAGGGGCTCGAAGCCCTTGAACCTATAAGCCCTTGAGCGCAGATCCTCAAAACCCACGGCTTCTGTATCCACCCTAGAGCTTCGGGAGGCTTATGTGGGGTTTGAGGCCGTGACGCCCGAGTTTCGTGGGTTTCGGGGGGGGGTTTTGTGGTTCTACGTTTGGGGGACTGCTGCGCGCCGTGTGCTCCGCTGGAGCGAGGCAGGGGCTGGTGACTCATAGAAGTGCCGCAGCATGATGTGCTCCAGGTCCCCTGCCAAAGAGCCTGTGACCCTGCCATGGAGTGCTTCAGCAAGGAATCCATCTTCTGGATATTCGGCGTGGTTGTGCCGATGTTCATAGCCTACAACGGTGCGGCGACGGCTGCCACAGTGGACACTCTCCAGCAGTCAGGCGTGTGGAGTGAGACATCACTTGGCTTGTTGGCTGCCATGGACAAGATTGGAATGACCCTCTCTGCAGGGATCTGGGGCTATGTCCTTCAGTCCGTATCTTCAAAATCAAAAGTCCTGCTCTCATTGGGCCTTCTCGTCAATATCCTCGCCAGTGCAGTCTTTGCCATGACAACGAATCGCTACGTCCTGTACTCAACGAAGCTGTTGATTGGAATGTCTGAAGGGCTGCAATGGGTGTGGGCCCCACTTTGGGTGGTCAAATGGGCAGATGAGACATCCTTGCCACTTTGGATCAACCTCTCTGGCTGTGTCGCAGCCGGTGTTGGTTCCGGCCTAGGCATGCTCGTCGCTGGGTTCGGCACAGCCCATGGCCTACCTTGCGCAGTGCCTTTTCAGATAGAGGCGGCAGTCCTCTTCCTACTGTTTCTTCTCATGATGCTCACGCCCGGCGCGCAGCTCGCCAGCAGCAGTGCTGGCACACGCGATGGAGTGAAGCAAGATGTGCTGCAGTTTGAGGCTGCGACGGGATAGTGATTTTTTTTTTTTGGGGGGGGGGAGGGGGTGTTTATTTTGAGAAGGCTCTCAACCATCACGTGCCTGACACGACACAGGCCGGCGAATGGCGGGCGGGACTACCCGACAAGTTGCGACTCCCACCCCGCAGAGGCCGAAATGATTTGGGTTTAGTAAAGTTTTGGGGCTGGGGGTCTGAAGCTTTGTGCATGTTCTTGCCATTTTACAGACCCACAAGCCCGAGGACGGCCCACGGAGCGCAATGCCTCCGTCAGCCCGCGGCTGTGTGGGAGCCGGGGCAGGCGAAAGGGTTTGATGTACATTTTCACAGCGTCAGCTGCTTGAGTTTAACTCTGTGTGGACAACCCTCTCGAAGACTCGGAGTTGCAAAATCATTGAAAACATCGAGGTCGTTTTTTTTTTGGAGGGGGGGGGGGCTTTGAGCGCATGCTGCTCAAAATATGCCGTTTGCACGTCTTTTCTCTCAATCGCATGTTTTGGCGGATAGATCTTGAGGTCTAGGTCTAGGTCGCGATCTGTATGAGCGCATGTTGCCTCAAGATTTGGACCATACGGGGATCTTGAGTTGCAGTATGAGCGCGTGTTCGTACGTCTTGCTGCATTACTCAAAGCAAATCCACCTGATTGATGTACGTAGGCCGGTCAGTAGCGCATCTGGGGTAGATTTGAGGGCAACGTGGGGATGTTGGGCTAGCGCGCGTTGTTACGTATTTGTGTCTCAAGCGTGTGTTTCGTCGCAGAGAAGCGCTGCCCTTCAGATCCGTTCTCAGCCAATGGGCTATAGCAGCCCCAGAATACCATTCCAAATCAACAGCGAAAAAGAACCAGATCTTCTGACAGACTGGCGGAGGAGGAACAAGCACAACTAGATAGTTCATTAGTTGAAGAGAACGTTCTCCCCTGCCAGTCGAAGAATGAAAAAGAAAAAGAACGGATCGGAGGAAGAGAGGGGTAGGCACGAGGCTGACAAAGGAGGAGATTGGAAATGAGGAGGAGGACAGAAGGAAAAAAAACCGAAACGAAGCCAGAGCTCCGAGTGCAGTTCAGGACAAGCAGGAAGGGAACGGAAAATTGCAGAAATGTGCGTTTTTGCCAACTAAACTGCCAAAATCACTGATGTTGTTCGCGTGATCGCCGATACGAAAATTCTGTTTACGCAGCATCTTGCCATTTGCATCGGTATAGTCAGCGCTGCTTAATTTTAACGCTACGTGACCCGCCTCGGCCCGGCCCAGCGCAACTGCGTGAGCATGGTGATTCCGCAGCGCCCAAGTCGCTGGACCCCAAGCACTAAGGGTTGGGTTTAGGGTTTAGGGTTCCGGTTTATGGTTTGGGGTTTAGGGTTGAGGGTTAGTGAAGGGTTGAGGGCTCGGGGCTCAAGGTTCACGGTTTGGAAAGTTTGGGGTTTAGGGTTTGGGGTTCAATAGGAGGGTGCAGGGGCAGGGCGGGGGAGGGGGAAAGGGGGGGGGGGGGGAAGGGGAACACTGATTTTTGCATCCGCTCCCTATACCCGGACCCAAATCCCCTCTGCTCCGGGCACGTCGGCCGCGGCTGTTTCCAGTTCGACTACGGGGGGTACTCACCCCGGACCAAAAAAAGGGGTCCAAAAAAGGATTTGGAGGGGATGCCTGTTCTCACAACCTATACACCTTCGGCCCGAGGCCTCGGCGGATTCGCTGGAGTCGTTCGTTACGCTAAGATAGGAGGCTGTCACACCTACTTTCTTGATGATACTTGAAATGCCGCCCTTTTCATTGCAATGCAAACAAAAGTTCTTAGTTCTTACAGGAGACAAAATCACCGATTCACTTATGTAGAAACATGCTGTGCGGATACATGCGTTGCATTGCCCAATATACTTGGTTTATCGAGTTGAGATTTGTTGGCATCAACGGGGTCGCTGAGGGCGATTCCGAAATGATTGTGTCTCAAGGCGATGAGCCTTAGTTGGGTGGGTGTTTACTTCAAGGTTTGGACTTGGGGCTGGGTTCATCTTCCTGATGTTCCGAGAGGCTGGCTTCGTCCACGGTGGGCGCCGCGGCATGGGACGACGAGTCTTGTCCCAGAGCTGCCCTAAACCCTAAACCCCTGTCCGAGAAGCAAAAAACATTCAGGGCATACCCCTCTTCACCGTTTTTGAGCCTTCGTCTGCGATGTTTACATCGGGTTTGCGGCTCCGCGAGCATCTGTATGGGAGCTTGGCCTATTGGACTGGAGCTTTGTTTTGGTTTGGGTTGGGTTTTCGTGTTTGGGGAGGAGGCTATGCTTCTTGGCCGCGTGCTCCAAACCCCTACATAGGCCTTTGCCTTTTTGTTACCTGGGATTCCTTGTTTGCGGCTGCTGGGATCTGGAGTCTAGGTTTTTCTTGCTGAGAGGGGTTTGGGGCTTCAGGTTTGCCAGGCTCTCCGCGGCTGTTTGCCTGCAATCCGAACGCACTTCCAACAAACAGGGTTTCCTGTTTTGGCCCCCAGGAAACAAGACACCCAGACATAATCCCTCCCAAAATCCTACGCCTTATCTGGCTCAACGACATCCCAGGCCGCCCTCTTTCAAACGGCGCAAGCCGTGGCGGCCTTTCAGGTTTGCAGCTCCTTGCAGTGTGAACGTGTAGGGCTTACAAGGGTGTTACGGGAAGGGGTTCCATATAGGGGGACCAGAACTGCACCGATATTGGTGGTGCCAGTATCCCAGGACCTAGTCAAACCTGCCCAGCTACCGGTAGCAGCTAGCAATGCTGCAGGAGCCCCTCCGGCATCCCAAGCCCTGCATGTTCACCCGCAAGAGCCCAACTAGTTTGTAAATTGCGTTTTGCAGGTCGGTCTATGACAGACAGGTGAACTTGGTTTTGGGAATGTCAGTAATCTTGTCTGGCTAGCATGCACTGATGCAATCGCTTCCCCAAATGCTAACCCCCAATGCTGACCCCCCATCCCCTCCCCACCAGTCCCCTCGTCACCCGTCCCCTCCCCAATATTGAGATTCGGTCCGGCCAACAATGTTCAAACCTTCAACCGTCGACCCCAACCTCCCCTGACTGTCAGGCAGGTTTAGTGTTGGGCTACGTTCAATGGGGTCTGGGAGAAAATGGGGGGATGGCAATGGATCAACTATTGCTCATGCAGGTACCCGGCTACAGCTGGTCTAGGGATGCCACTCAGCCCTTGTGACAGGCCGAGAGTGATGGCGAGGTCACCGTGCTGCCAGGCAGCTTCTGTTCGGACTTCGGGTTTTGCTGCTGCGGGATGCTTTAACTCAGCGCTGTGCAACTGCAGGGTTTGTCAGCAAGGTCGGAGCAGAGAAAGGTGTAATATTTTTTGCGGCATTTGACAGTCCTGTTAACATGGATCCAACGTATTTCACATGATATTGTACACTTGTACAAGCGACACTGAAGTGGCGCAGTCCAGAATTGCTGCGTTAGTGTTTGCAGGCCCTGTTGTTGTGTCACTTGGTAGAGGGGCAGGCGCGAAAGGGCTGTAGGACCTATCGGAGGCATTGTATACTTCGACTGCGACGTCACACCGGGCCACACCTGAACCCCTCAACTTTACTGTGAGGAGAGCCGGTGACAGTGCTCCGCCACCCCGACGCAGACGAGGATTGGGCCCTCCGCCCAGTCTCGACTTTGGGGTCAATTTCGGAGCTGTTTGATGTTTTGGATTTCGAGTTGTGTTTAGTGAGCAGGGTTGAGGGGTTAGGCGGTGCCCAGGCTCAAGGTATGCCATCCTAGCGTGATGTTTGCCTTGGATCTTGCGTGGCGTATGGCCTAATGCTGCAAATCGCATGCTCACCATGCTCCTCCACTGTTGCCTCTAAATATCACATCCCTGACCCAGATTCTGTTATTAGCTCTGAGATCGGGTGCGCGTCTAAGTCTGAGAATGTCACCAAGCCATGCGTTGCGACAAATAGAGCATGCTCCAGTAGCTACTGCAACTCACATTGCGGTTTCCCAAGGCAGCCTGCGCGTCCTGCAGTTACAAAGCTTCGAAAGCAAATTGCTGCAATCGATGCTCGCCAATGTTTTGCAGATTTTACATAAGACATCCGACTGTCCCCCTGCCAACATGCCTGCTAGAGATCTTTATGAATCTCGTGTACCCCCCCACCTCCACCTGCCGCTCAAACACGCACAGATTTGCGGAGTTCTTGCGCGCGTTGAGCTGCCACATTTTGCTGCTCCGAGAAACAATCTCGCCAGTTGATCCAGCAGCAGTTGACAGGTCCCAAAAATTCAGAAGGGCGTGATGTTATTTTTTTCGTGCACAATGACACATTGACCAGGTCTGGTGAATTGCCGGCAGTGCAAGAGCATGTCGACATACAGCGGCCCTGAGCCCGAAAAGCCTCGTGGACCCCACTCGAATACAGGAGCAATCGGATTACAAGATTAGGACTGAAACCTCATCTCCATTGCTCCCGAGCTGAGGTCTTCGTTTGCGTACGCGGGCTGCGAGGCTGGTGTGCCCGCGAGGCACTCCAACGAGAGGCAAAGGAGAAACCACGGGGCTTCGATCCATAATTGTAAACGCTTGCGCGCGCCGCCTCGGCAGCCGGACCGGCCCACGGACGAAAGAGTGTTTCTGGGAAAGGCCTCAAAAAAGGAGGATCTCACACCCAGTTTTAGGGGGCGGAGTTCCAGCAATGGGGTTCCAGGGGGGTTCCAGGGGGTCCCAGGGAGGTCCCACGGGGGGTCCCAGGGGTCCTAGGGGGTCCCACAGGGGGTCCCACATCTAGGAGCCGCCGACAGTCGGGACCCCCCACGGCATCGGTTTGCAGCTGCCCCAAGCAGAAGCATAAGAAAAATTGGTTAGGGGGAAGGAGGCCCGATCCGAGTCTGCTTGTTCCAGACGCTTCTCGGCAGGAAGCCGAGGCGAATATTTCTACTCATAAAAGGATACATACCGGCCTTCGAGCCGAGAGTCTGAAGTTTAGGGCTCTGTTTCGTATTGCGCTGCACAGTATCTCCCGCATTGGCTAGCCTTGGGACTTTCGGGTGGTTTTTTGGCTTCGGGTGCAAGTAACGTTCTGGCAGCTGGGGCGTTTGGGGCGGCATCGCTAAGGGCTCTGTCCTTAATGTCATCTAAGCTGCAGGGTGGAGAAAGGTTCCAGATTCTACCACCATCTCTCACAGCTTCCCCGCAGCATCATGATGTTTTTTTGCTACCCTGAGAGCTCTCTGCCTAGGGCAGGGTCTGGTTCTCCAAGGCATCTTAAACCCGAAGGTGTGAGATAGGAACCGCGCCCGGAGTCCTCTTGACCATTTGAGCCCCTCTCCCAGATAGAGCACAAGGACTGAACCTAACAAGCGCAGAACAACCATGGACGCTGAAAACTGAACACCCGACCCTGACCTGCGAATGAATCGTACAACTCACCAAAGATGGATCTTGCCTCACGAGTTGTTGTAAGTTGTAACCACGCTGCATTAAGGGCCGCTCGGGTTTTAGGGAGGGAGGCGGGCTCAAGGTGGAAATGCTGTGCGTTTCAAGCTTTTTGAGGGTTTAGGGTTTATAAGGTTTAGGGCTTAGGGTTTAAGGTTTAGGGTTTAGGGTTTGCTGCTGTGCACCCTAGCGGGCACGCTTCGGTCAAGGAGTTGATGAAGCCTATCCTCACCATGCCACTTCAAGCGCCAGATGGGTCCACCGAGATGGAGGCTGTGGGGAGGGTCAGGAACGCACACCCTGAGGAGTTTGGAAGGCTTTGAGGGGTCTGGTTGTGTAAGGCAAAGGTGCATCATACCCTGCAAGACCTGAAGAGAGACCAGCGGCATTTGTTCAGTGTGTTAGGCGGGGGAGTCTCGGGCTTTGGATGTGATGGCTTGGCCTTGCTTTGGGCGCATTTTTTTGGTCTACCAAGACTACCAGGGGCAGCAACTTGTGACCAGCGAACTGAAGGCTGTTGTAAGGCTTCGGCACAATGTCCATCAAGCCCGAGCATGAGCCTTCGTGGGTGGAGGGCTGCAGGCCCCTGCACCAAAACCACTCGGTTCGCGGATCTTCATCCTCGTGATCCCCTGAACCCAAAATCTCAAGGTTGCTGCCCAACACCCCGTCCCGAATGCAACTGCCAGGAGGATGAGGAGGAGGAGTGTCGACAGCAGGCAGGTTTTGCATTTTGGGGGTCGACTGGAATGTGGAGGGGCAAAGTGTCGTCGATAGTTCTTTCCCCCCACCCCCCCCCCACCCCCCACCCCCCCCCCCACCACCCCCCCCCCCCACCCCCCCCCCCACCCACCCCCCCCCCCCCCCACACCCCCCCCCCCCGCAGCCGACCCCCCCCCCCGTGGGTGGCTTAAATAGGGTCTATTTGGAAGCTGGGACTCGGGTTTTCTTATAGCCATACACGTTTCCACGAGGGTACGCTGCTGTGAAAAAACAGCACCCGGTAAATGCTAAGCTGCTAAAATTGACTGGTGCTATTTTTTGTGCTATTGTTTGTGCTTTTTCTGGTGCTATTTCTGGTGCTATTTCTGGTGCTATGTGACTAGCAGTCACCACTAGCAGACCCACAAAAAGCAGCACCCTGTAAATGCTAAAATTGACTGGGTTTCCTGGTGCTATTTTTGGCCTGTGTGTTATAAGGCCAGGGCATTATTGGACTGTTAGTGTGGACCGGCCGAACCCAAAGTTAAAGTTAAAAGGAAACAGAAGGAGAGAAGGGAAAGGGAAGTGAGAGAGGAGAGACAACAAGGAGGCCATTTTAATCTCCTGTGAGTTATCAAAAGGAATGCAATATTATGGGAAGAGCAATGGTAAAAAGAGTGGAAGAGAAATTAAGACAGGGGAGGGAGGTGCAAAAATAAGGCAACGAGAAGATGGTGCCGTTTTCATCTCACCTCTCGTTCTTATCTGTCTCTTCTCTGGTTCTTTTCCCTGTGAAATAAAAAACCAAAGGAAGGACAATGAACATATGAAGGAACCCGTTCTCGTTTTCCGTTTGGGCACAAGGAAAAGAACAGAGGCGATAGGGCGAGAGGAGGGGTTTGCTGAAGCATGGGGAGGGTGTACAGGCAAGGAGCCAACTCCGCCCACTTCCCCCATCCATTGAAAGAGGAGAAGAAAGGAACAGGGCCTCCATTCCCCTCTTATTCTTCCTTTCTTGCGTTTTTGTCGTTTAGAGGGGAACAGGAGAAGAGGAGGGAGAGCGAAGGAGAGAGGAGAGATAAAAAGGGTTGCATTTCAACGGGAAGAGCAAAGAAAAGACTAGAAGAGAGATGAAGGGAGAAGAGGGAGAGACAAAACAAGGCGCACAGAAAATGGGCAGATAATAAGAGAGGAAAGGGAATGACTAAGTAAAATGAGGAGTTCTTCAATTTCCCTCCCTATCTCTTATGTTACTTTTCCTTCTTTTGGGGTGTCCCTTCTTCTCTTGAAGATGCAGAAAACGATTGAAAAGTACACCCGTTCCATCGCCCATATGTAGGGAAAGAGAGAGAATCATGAGCATCAGCTGGGTTTGCTGCCAATCCAACATGGGCGTCCCTTTTAATCGCATTCTGTGTCCTTCTTTCTCGCTTGAAGATGCAGAAAACGACCCAAAAGCACATCTGTTGCAGGAAGAGAGAAGGAGAGAGGAGAGATACCAAGGATTGCATATTTAATGGGAAGAGCAAAGAAAAGAATAGAAGACAGATGAATAGAGAAGAGGGAGAGACAAAACAAGGCGCAGAGAAGATGGCACTCTTCGTTATCTATTCTCTCTCCCTTGTTTCTCCCTTCCCTCTTTCTTTTCGAAATGAGAAAAACAAAAAGGAAGAACTATGAGAAGGAGAAGAGTAAGGAAAGGAACAGAAGAGATAAATATGATGGAGCATTATGGAAAGGTCCACGCGCAAGGAGTCACCCTCTGCTTACCTTTCCACTGCTTTATCATATGAGTTCCTTTCTTGTGTTTTATCAGTTCAAAGGAAGCAGAAAAAGAGAAGGGAAAGGGAAGTGAGAGAGGAAAGATAACAAGGATGCTATGTTTCTCGAAGCGTGCTGCAAGGAATAGAAGAGACAGGAAGCAAGGAGACGGAATCACAAAATAAGGCGCAAAGCTGTACATATCATCTCTCCCTTGTCTCTCCTTATTCCCTTTCGAAACCATTCTTGCTTTTCACAGATCGGTTCCCTCTCTCCTCTTCAGGAAATCCCCTTTCCCTTATGTTGCTTTTTTGAAGCGAATAAGAAAAATAGCAGATAAGAAGAGAGGAAAGGGTCAATTTCCCTCCCTATCTCTTATGTTACTTTTCCTTCTTGTGGGGTGTCCGTTTTTCTCTTGAAGATGGAAAACGATTGAAAAGGACACCCGTTCCATCGCCCATATGTAGGGATCGAGAGAGAGAGAGAGAGAGAGAGAGAGAGAGAGAGAGAGAGAATCATGAGCATCAGCTGGGTTTGCTGCCAATCCAACATGGGTGTCCCTTTTAATCGCCTTCTGTGTCTTCAAACGCGCAAAGGGGGCACCCTCAGTGTCTTCCTTTGGGTGTCCTTTTTTCTCGCTTGAAGATGCAGAAAACGATCCAAAAGGACATCTGTTGCAGGAAGAGAGAAGGAGAGAGGAGAGATACCAAGGATTGCATATTTAATGGGAAGAGCAAAAACAGAAAGAATAGAAGACAGATGAATAGAGAAGAGGGAGAGACAAAACAAGGCGCAGAGAAGATGGCACTCTTCGTTATCTATTCTCTCTCTCTTGTTTCTCCCTTCCCTCTTTCTTTTCGAAATGAGAAAAACAAAAAGGAAGAACTATGAGAAGGAGAAGAGTAAGGAAAGGAACAGAAGAGATAAATATGATGGAGTATTATGGAAAGGTCCACGCGCAGGGAGTCACCCCCTTTCCCTTCCACTGTTTTCTCATATGAGTTCCTTTCTTGTGTTTTATCAGTTCAAAGGAAGCAGAAGAAGAGAAGGGAAAGGCAACAATTGAGCCCAACATGTTAGGGACCAGGGCTTGCGATCTGACTCTTTGGAGCAAAAATCGATTCCAAAATCTTGGGGACCAGGGCTTGCGATGTTACTCTTTGGAGCAAGAAATGAGCCCAAAATCTTAGGGACCAGGGCTTGCGATTTCACCTTTTGGGGCAAAAACTGGGCCCAAAATCTTAGGGACCATGGCTTGCGATTTGACTCCGTGGAGCACAAATCGACCCCAAAATCTTAGGGACCAGGGCTTGCGCTTTGACTCTGTGGAGCACAGATCGACCCCGAAATCTTAGGGACCAGGGCTTGCCATTGGCCTCTTTGGAGCAAAAATTGACCCCAAAATCTTAGGGATTTTACTCTTTGGCGCAAAAAATGAGCCCAGAATCTTAGGGACCAGGGCTTGCGATGTTACTCTTTGGAGCAGAAATTGAACCCAAAATCTTAGGGACCAGGGCTTGCGCTTTGACTCTGTGGAGCACAGATCGACCCCGAAATCTTAGGGACCAGAGCTTGCCATTGGCCTCTTTGGAGCAAAAATTGACCCCAAAATCTTAGGGACTTTACTCTTTGGCGCAAAAAATGAGCCCAGAATCTTAGGGACCAGGGCTTGAGATGTTACTCTTTGGAGCAAAAATTGAACCCAAAATCTTAGGGACCAGGGCTTGCGATTTGACCTTTTGGAGCAAAAACTGGGCCCAAAATCTTAGGGACCAGGGCTTGCGATGCTACTCTTTAGCAAAAAATGCGCCCAAAATCTTAAGGACCAGGGCTTGCGATTTGACTCTGTGGAGCAAAAACTGGGCCCAAAAACTTAGGAACCAGGGCTTGCGATGTGACTCTTTGGAGCAAAACTGGACCCAAAATCTTAGGGACCAGGTCTTGTGATTTGACTCTTTGGAGCAAAAACTGGGCCCCAAATCTTAGGGACCAGGGCTTGCGATTTGACTCTTTGGAGCAAAAAATAAACACAAAATCTTAGGGACCAGGACTTGCGATTTGATTCTTTGGAGCAAAAACTGGGCCCAAGATCTTAGGGACCAGGGCTTGCGATGTCACTCTTTGGGGCAAGAAATGAGCCCAAAATCTTAGGGACCAGGGCTTGCGATTTGACCCTTTGGAGCAAAAACTGTGCCCAAAATCCTAGGGACCAGGGCTTGCGATTTGACTCTGTGGAGCAAACCAACATCTTAGGGACCAGGGCTTGCGATTTGACTCTTCGGAGCAAGAAATGAGCCCAAAGTCTTAGGGACCAGGGCTTGCGATTTGACCCTTTGGAGCAAAAACTGTGCCCTAGTATTGGGGGGAGGCCCGGGGTCGTGATTTAGTATTGGGGGGAGGCCCGGGCTCGTGATTTAGTATTGGGCAGGCGGGGCAAGTCTCTCCCTAATTT